TAGAAATTGGCATAGGACTTAGATATTATTTTCACATTCCTCTTATATTTGTTTAATTATCTCTCCCAACCCTTGTTCACGTTTATTAGCTAATTACCCTATTTGTGAAAAATGTGTAACATTAATAATAATAATAATAATATAAGAATAATATAAATTAAATATAAATATTATGAAATATAATAAAATAAAATAAAATATAATTAAAACAAAATAAAATATAATTGAAAAAATAATTAAAATAATATGAAATATAAAATGAATAGTATAAACTAAAAGAAATTATGATTTATAAATTATATGTATATTAATTATTTGATGAAATATATTTTAAATAATATGATATATCTTATATCAAGTATTAAACTATTATATAATAAAAGAATAAAAATAAGACCAAACAAAAATTTTAGATATCTTAAAAATATATATTAGTATTATTATTTATTAAAAAAATTGAATTTTAACTATCTGACTATATAAACTTATATCCAAGACAATTTGCTTTCAACTTTGTTGAAAAATTAATAATCACTTTATCCAAAAAATTAATAGGAATTACTTTTCTTATCAATATATCTAATAATTACTTTGACTTCTAAGAAAAAGTATTTAATCAAGAACTTGAACTACAAAATTTTTAGCATATTAATAAAGTTTTATATATTATTTAATAATATAATAAAATTTTTGATAAGCCTATTTATACTAAATATATTAATATATAATTAATTTTTTTTTAATATAATTTTTAAGACAAATACAATAATTAAGAATAATAGAAAAATTAATAATCAAAAGAATAAAAATAATAAAGTACTTGAAGTTTCTGAATTAATTTTGTGAATCTGGATTAAAAATTATATACAAATATATAAGTATTTTCTGAATATATAAAAATATATGAGTTCAGAATGCTGTTTACAAAAATAAGCTCATAAAGTTATCTTTTTTCTTGAATTAACAAATAGTTTTCTTTTACCAGTAATCCAAGACAAAAATAATTATTTTTTTGAATCTAATACATACTATATAATACCTAGATTCAACAAAAATATTGAAGTATAATAAGTATTATTCTTAAATTAATACTGAGTAATATATATAGCTTGTATATAATACATGCAAAAAGTATTTTTCTACTCATGTTTTTCTGATAAATTACAAATACTTTGCTTATTCAAGAAATGACTAAAATTTGATCAAAATAATATATACTAAATTGTATAAAATATCCTATATAAAATATATAATTAGAATTTTACAACAAATAAATCAATAAAGTTGAATAAATAAAATTTATTTTTGCAAAATCTAATAAAATTTATTAATTTTATTGATTTTTTTTCAAATATACAAGAAAAACTTAATATTGTCACCATGTAATAAATTTAGTACCTGATATAAGATATATCATATTATTTATAGTATATTTCTATTGGATAGTTAGTAAATATATGATCTACAAATTATAATTCATACTAATCCTTTAGATTTTATACTATTTTATTCTAATTTCATTATATTTCATACTATTTTATCTTATATATTTTATATTTTATACTAATTTATCTTATATCTTTTATATTTCATACTATTATATTTTATATTATTTATATTTTATATTATTCATTTTTAATTTATACTATTTGTTTTTAGTTTATATTATTTTTATATTATTATTATTAGTATGAAAAACACATATTATTGATCTTTAAGAACCAAATTAGCTTAAAAGTAATTTATAGTAAATTAATTACACTCAAGCAAAAGATATGAAACACTATAAAATAGTTTATAGAATAAATTATGTCTCATTCTAAATAGAATAGATTAGTTCTAGATTAAGAAGATCAAGTAATGAATAATTATTATAAAAATAGCATGTATCTTAACTAGAAGAAGTAAGAAGTTTAATATAAATAATTTTTAATTAACTTAGTATTAATAAAGTTTCTTTGCTTTTATTTTTTAAATAAATATAATAATTGACTTACTGTGTGTTTATCAGGAGAATTGATTACTTTGTATTTTCTTTTCTTAATTAATAATAAAGATTCTTGGTAAATCTAAATTACTTCTTGATGAAGTATTCATTAAAATATTAAAGAACTTTGTGTTTTATCTTTCTTAAAAATTCTTTACAAATACTTTGAATTCTTGGTGAATGCATTTAGTTCTTGATGAACTTCTTTTATTCTCATAAAATATACTTTATTCTTTGTGAACTTGTTAGATTCTTTGTAAATTTTTTAGTGCTTTAACTAACAAATAATAGTATTAGAAGATTATCTCACATATTACTTATTTCTTCACGCTTTTTCACATGATATAGTCACTGCCTATTGTTCTAGTAAAGATCTTTATTTATAAAGATTACTAACAGTAATAATATAATAGTATTCTATGAAATTATTTTTATAAATCATTATTTGTATTATTAGAATATCATCCAATAAGAGATGAATATATATAATATATATTTTTATTTTTGAATCTTTGTATTACTTAAGATTTTTTTTCTTCTAGTAATATTATATAATATTTTTGGCTTCTTTTATTATTCTTTTTCTTGAACACACAAATTTTTTTTATATAAAAATTGTTGTTATGACTGATTCTTTGACTTAATTTGCTAAGATATTGATTTAATATTACTTGAATTTTGTAATAGATATTCTCTATCATATATATAATTTAAATTTTCTTATTCTTGATTTTATTTTAATAAAAGAGATCAGAATGCTATGTGTATTAATGACTTGTAAAATGTTCTACATATTGTTACAGTCTTATCAGAGAATTTTTGCTATAATACTTATATATAAAATGAAATTCTATTATAATTATTATTTACTTTCTAAATTATCATTCCTTAACTTAATAATAATTATCATGCTTAATTAAGATTATAAACCAAGTTAGTTAATCTATCTGATATTTTATAATAAGTATGAAGAACTGAGAGAGTTAATAATTTTTATTTCTTTTTATTTTTCTTATTTAATTTTAATATTTTTTCAATAAAGCTTAGAAGTTATGTGAAAAAATATATTATAATATACTTTATCACCTTATTTTTATTGAACACTTAATTTTATTTAATTTTTATTGATTATTTATATTTTATTGATTATATTTTATTATATTCTTATTAAATATTATATTTATTTTTATATTTAATTATATTATTAATTATATAATAGTTAAAAAAATATGAAATACTAGATAAAAAAGATAAATTAGCATAAAACACTAAAAAAGTTAAAATGATAAATTAGAAATAAAAGATATTTTAATTTATTTTGTGCTAGTTAAAAAGATATTTTAGTGATATTTATTTTATATATAAGTAGCACTTCACTTAATAACAAGTTAAATATTAATAATTAAAAATTATTACAAGTAATTACCTTATAATTCCTCTTTGATATTCAGCATAGCTTTTGTTATAAACTTGGAATAATCTAGTAATATTGTTATTCTTATATTATATTATACACTTGTATAATTTATGTACAGAGCACTAATTGAGATAGCAATAATGAAAAATATAATAATAAAGAAGCTTTGTTAATAAAACTATCTTAAACTTATCAACTGCATATTATAAAATTCTCTTAGTAATAAACTTAACTTGTTCTATAATTCTTCTTATAACTATAAGAAGAAACCTGTATAAAGATCTTTCACTATACAATACTGTTAAAAGAACTGGAATAATAATAATTTGGTAGCCAAATGACTTGACTGATCACGGAAATCAAAATTTTACTCTAACATCCAACTTTGGTCCAAGATTATTTTTCATGACATTTATAACCACAAATGAAACTTCTATGGTCATTCATAGAAACTTATGGCCGAAAAAGAGCAGCATGCGATGCTCCTGTAATCCACAAATCCAAATAATCTCGTGTTTTCCTATGTGCCTGTTGTGCCCCAAATCGCAATTGTCCCAAATCACAATCGGCCCAAATTAGAATAGGAATATGACCAGAGTTAGGGTAAGGGTTAGGGTTAGTGCTGAAGGATAAGCTATATTTGGTTTAGATTTTGATTTGGGATATATCCCAATTGTCAATTGGGACAAATTGTGATTTGGAGCACAACATGCCGATCAAATTTTTTTTGATCATCTGTGACACATCGATAGAAATTACAAATTGCCACAAGGGTTTGTCAGCAAAATGACAAATTCGGATATACATTAGTAAACGTAAATATATAAATGCCTCGAACATCTAATCACTTCTTAACAAATATTTTGCCTTATCCTTTCTTCCATTATGGTTCAAGAAATTCTCAAGGTTTCTCCAGTTGTTGTCATACCCAATGAACATTCACATAAAATACAACGAAATAATTTTATTCTTAATGGAAAACCTAAATTTGCATTTGATTCAATAGAAAATGCTCTCAAAGACTTTGGTATGTTTTTTAAAAAAATCAACTAAATCAAATATTGAAATACATTCCGATTCATTAATTTATTATATTACCCAGCGGAAGGAGAGTTCGTAATAGTCGTAGACAATGAAGATCGAGAAAATGAGGGTGATTTGATTATTGCTGCCGAAAAAATGACCACAGAAAAAATGGCATTCATGGTACGATACACGAGGTACTAACATTTATCTAGAATGATGATTTAATATTTTTTGCATAAAATGATTATTAATTCTATTTTGTTGTCAAGTGGGTTAATATGTGTACCTACAGTGCCAGCTCGTCTAGATCAACTGAAACTTCCGTTAATGGTTCCAAATAGTACCGATAGATTTAAAACCGCATACACCATTTCTGTAGATTATAAACATAGTAAGTTGATCGAGTATATCTATTTTCAAACACTGGATGCATGCGCATAATCTAATTCGAATCTATTATTTAAAAGACATCACGACAGGTATTTCGGCACATGATCGTGCTTTAACGGCGAGATCTTTAGCTAATTTTGCCATTACAAATCCGGAGGAGTTCATCCGACCAGGTCATATGTTTCCTTTGAGATATACAGAGGGTGGGGTTCTAAAGCGGATCGGTCATACTGAGGCTTCTGTGGGTGAGAGTTTATCCATCTATACTTTATTATGTAATATAAAACTAAAATATTTATTCAAATTTCCCCATTTAGATTTATGCAAATTGTCAGGATTAAAGCCTGTTGGCGTAATAAGCGAATTAGTAAAGGATGATGGGTTAATGGCGCGTCGTGATGACTGTCGTGCTTTCGCTGACGAACATGGCTTGAAGCTGATTAGTATTGCTGATCTGGTTCAGTATCGAATGAACCATAGACTATTTAATATATAGATATTATTGTTATTTTTATTTAATTTAATTTGGTGTAAGGCTGTATTTAGCATAGACATGTATTTCTAAAGTAACGGCCATTGATTATTTAATGAAAGGAACATATGATAAGGTTTGAATATATGCTAGGTCTAAACGATATGGTCGGGATAATATCGTTATTCGAGAATTTATTATAAAAATCGTTGTACCGAAGGAAATTTTACAAGTGTTTTTGGGTTGTCATCGTTATACCGGGATTAACAGAGTATCGGTATATCGAGGTTCGACTGTATATGCTAAGACCACACACATAATCGAAAATTAGAATAAGTAAAATGATTTATTCAGTGCAAAATAACTTCAAAGGCATACAGAGACAATTTTTTTCTGAATGGGACTCCAAGATATTTCATGCGCTATCATTTTGCAAAAGTAATCTCTTTGAGCCATTAAAGAAAAAATGAACAATCATGTGTTTGGTGATAGGTAGTAAAACAGGTTAGAAGACTCGAAATTTCTTGTTTGCTTTACCATTATTAGTTGTTTTCAATACATCAAAATTACCATTATTCATAAAATAATGACGCCAGATAACACCTCGAATATGATAGCAGATGAAGAAACACTTAATCGTACTTGGAATTTGGTCGCGGAATTATGTACACAATTGGCTAGTAACCGCGAGCAAATTCAGTCCCTGGAGCAACAGGTCATTGAGCTTCAGGTGATTCTCCTTTTTATTGTTTAGATTTCGTTGATTATAGGTTTTTTAGGCGCGAGTTTATATACTCTGATAAAATATACACTTTTTTAGTTTATTTCTTTAAGCTTCTTAGTTCATACTCTTATAGTAGTAAAGTTTGGCTATTTGGCTATTATCAATAACATAATACATTGAAACTTCATATAGAATAGGGCAGATGAATTTACCGGGCCATTGATACGCGCCAGCATTCGAGGTAAATCAATGCTAAGCTTTTTAATTATTTCGTATCTAAATACATGCTAATTCTCAAGCCAACCCAATTTATTCATATTTATGTTTTTCATATTTGGCAAAGGTTAGCCCCGCCATTTGAATCCGGCACGTCAGAAATAGAACGCCAGAACGTACGCCTGATCTACGAGAATCAACAATTGAATGAAGAGAATGCTTCCCTGTCTTCTCTAGTTAAAGAATACGAGACCACGTTGCAGGTCATGATGAGTAAATTTCGATTACAAGCGGTAAGTGTTTTTTCCCTCTTACGATCGTGGTTCTGTTTTACGTTGAAATTAATGCAATAAAATAAATAATAGCACGAGATACAACAATCCAAATTACAAATGCAACGCGAATATGAATCATTATTAGAAAAGGAACGGGTAAGCATTCATTAGTTCTGTTCACTGATTTTCATTTTTTTTTTGGCTAATTAATGATTTTGGATACAGAGGAAAAATGCTCAAATTTCTCTTGAAAACGTGCAACTCCATTTGCATCTCACTGCCGTTGGCAATTTAGTCAGACAAGCATACGACGTACAAACAGATCTCGACACGGAAATTCTGTTGGAAAGTCTGTGTATTGAGAATTTAGGATTACGCGAAATGCTTGGAATCGATCCCAATAATACGCATTTTCAAGATGAGAAAGTGACAACTTCAATATCATCAACTCCTACCACTAGTAATGGTTGTAGTAATCCAGCAACATCTACAAAATTATCATCGATAGATGGTATTATCAGATCTTCTTCAGCATCCAATAAGAACACCATTAGTAATAGAGATCGTATTATTGCAGAGGCCAAGAAAGAGGAGGAAGCACGTGAATTGGAAGCTGAAGAAGAAAAAGAACAACGAAAGCAGGATGAAGTTGAAGAAAAGGAAAGAATTGTAGAGTCAAATTCATAATATCAAGTTGGAAAAATAGAGAAATCAAACGTCTATTTGATTTCGCTAGTCTTTTCGCGGAAATTTATTTTTCTCCAACTTATGTATTATTTTGCTTGTCTCACAAACAAAATTAGACTATTAAATTAAGAACCGCCTTTACTCTATCATAAAAGCTATCATAAGAATATCTATCACTCATCATCGTCATCCTTTTCTTTTGTCACCGTTGACGACATCACTCTATTCTCTATAAACTCTCCTATCGTTTCAAAATATTCTGGTTGGAGCACCGTGTCATTATGAGTGCCATTAGGAAATTCTTTCCACACTTTTCTACCTCGAGTTTCTGTTAATTCGTAGAGTTGGCGCATATGTGCCGGCGGAACCAATTCATCTTTAGTCCCTGTCAGAAATAACATCGGGGTATTTACTATTTGCTTGATCGCTGTTTCAGATGGCCAAATTTGATGGCAGAGAAATGTAAAGTGTCTTATTTGTGGTATTACGTGTGGTATTACCTTTGGCTATATGTGATTGTCATTGTATTGAAGCGAATTACTATTGATTGTTAATAAATAAAGATTTATAAATAAATGTAGCTATAATGAATCTTACAAGACTCAAAAATGTATTTTCCACAATAAGCCCGCTGATCTGTAAATATCAAATACGCGTATTAATCAATGAGCACTCCTCTCACAACTGTGATAATATATTAATTATTTCACCTACATCATTCTGATTCCTTGATGCTAAATAAATGGCCACTGCACCGCCAACAGATTGTCCATATAAAATAATTTTAGTGTTTTTTAACACATCATCATTCCGTATATGATCCAAAATGCACTGAACACAAAAACCAGTTCAACTCGATCACTTTTTCACTTTAACAAGAACAACAACAATAATAAATAGAATTTCACCTCTGCATCGATTTGAATTCCTTTTTCATTCGCTTTGCCTTCACTCAGTCCATACCCTCGATATGAAAGCAAGACTACATTACATTTAAGCTTTGTATAAAATTTCTTTGCTGTTGGAAGTCTATGACCCTAATGATCCAAATTTATATGATGTTATAGTATAAAATATTCTATGCAAAATCAAAACATTACCATATTGCCAGCGTTTGCCTAAAAGATTACAAGGATCAATGTTGAATCAATATGAAAAGCGATTTGATAAACGTATACGATGAATTCTCTTACATGTAAAAACAGGATCGTTGGCGATATCCTAGCAGTAGCTTCGGGAACTTGTCGGCATGCATATGCGCGAATTTTAATATTATCTTTGGTTGTTAAGGTAAGATCTTCGTATTTGTAGATTCCATGCTCAGGTGGTTTTGCAACCTAGATATGTTGAGATATTAGCCTATTGCGTGTTATTTGACCTTAAAACCAAAACAAATCTTCAATCTATATCGGTTTTCATGTGAAAAATAAAACTAAAAAGATACCTGTTGTCGGGAACCTGGCGGAAAATTCGCCGGATAAATTAATTCGCATTGGAACGTGTACAGTAATGCACCACCTCCGCAGAATAAAATTCCCGATATAGTGATTAGATATTGTATAAGAGTTGGTATAAAATCTGGTAAAAATAACATTATTTTTTTCCACCTGGCGAACAAAGAGGGGGAAGAGAGAGTAAAGTGGCAACAACGCATGATTTGTCGCACAAGATTGGTGATTTTCTCATTCACCAATTCGCAGCAACAATTTATCTAAATGTTCAAATATGGACAGATCATTTTTATCTCTTGGTAATTGTCATAAACATTTATTTCTTCAAGCTCGAAATATTTAGACCAACTCATTTAGCTTCAATAACACGTTCAAAGGACCATGGTCGGTGTACACGAAATACTCAAGAAGCGTAAGTTATCTCTGATATACCGTGCTTTTTTAACATCATCGTGTTATTCAGCCTAAATTTAACATCACTTAATTTGCGCAGGTCTCATTGACACCATAAGATCAGTTCAACCACCCGGAAAATGGAAGGTGGTGGTTGTGGACGTTGCAACTCAAAAAATTCTCTGGTCGGCGTGCAAAATGTATGATATTTTAGAGGAAAATGTAACTTGTGAGTATGCATCGCGAAAGCTTCCAGTAAAACTATTTTCAAAAAAAAGTACAAGATTTGAGTGAAGTTGTATTTAATTTTTGGTAAAGTGGTGGAAAATCTTGAAAAGCAACGGCAGCCATATCCTACACTCGAAGCTGTGTACATAATTAGCCCTACTTATGAGGCAATCACAAAAGTAATCGAAGACTTTGCGAAAAGTGCACCGTTATATGCTCAGGCTAATCTGTTTTTCACATCAGGTGAGTTCACAAGACATGTATTGCAGGCGTCTGATCAATAATATATGCTAAGGAACTTTTTCATAGGACTTGAGGACAAATTATTTCAAAGGTTAAGCGCATCTCCTGCTAAACATTACATAAAAAAATGCATAGAACTGTACATTGATTTTCAAGGTATGTGCGAGTGATATCACGTCTACATTCTGATTATGATGGATAGAAATCATATGTTCTAACTTAACGGAACGGAAATTTATCCAAAATACAACATCAAACTTTTAGCTATGGAAGCCCAGGTTTATTCATTCGAGTCACCACATAGTTTCTTTAAATTATATTCCCCTGAAGAAATGCCAAACTACGAAGATGAAATCAGAAAAATCGCAAAACAGGCAAGAATTAATATCCCTCTATATCTTGTAAATAAGACAAATGACCTTGGATTTACAATATTTAATGAATATAGCTTTTATTGTAGCTTCTCTCAGTGTGCGCATCGCTAGGAGAAAATCCATTAATCCGATATCAACGATCTCTCGAAGCAGATCATCCAACCAAAACCTTACCGTACAAATTAGCCATGTTGCTTCAAAGCAACTTAGACCAATACATTAAGGATAATCCTGATTTTCCGGTACATTTTCCATTACTATTTAATAAATTTAATCTATAGTATATATAGTATTTATATTTCGGTTTCTTCAACAAAACTCTAGCCATCTGATAATCCCCGACCACGTGGTGTGCTCTTTATTTGTGATCGAACAATTGATATGAATGCACCTTTTCTTCACGAGTTCACATATCAAGCAATGGCGAATGATTTGCTTGAAATTGACAATGGTCAAAGATATACTTACAATTACACTGATTCGCATGGAGATCCTGCGACAAAAGAGGCTATCCTGGATGAGACAGATAAAGTTTGGGTCGAAATTAGACATATACATATGCAAGAATGTATTGAAAAACTAATGAAAGATGTTCGCGATTTTCTTGAAGAGAATTCTGGCTTTGCTGACAAGTAAGTTTTTTCCAACTACCAAATTCAAACATATACAATGCAAATTATTATTTAATCGATTTTTGTTGTTAGTGATAAATCCGCAAATTTGAATGAATTGAAAAAAATGTTGGCGAATCTTCCGCAATTTCAAAACATGAAAGAAAAGGTAATCGTAATATACGTTACTTTTTTTTAACGTTAGATTATATTTCTTTAGTACTCACAATTAAAATAATTGATTTCTTACAGCTTTTCCTTCATTTAAATATTGCGCAAGAATGTATGTCGATTTATAAGAAACATAAGTTAATAGAAACTGCGGCAATTGAACAAAATTGCGCCACAGGATATACATCTGACGGTCATGCTCCCAAAACTATAGTTGAAGATATGGTACCGTTGTTGGATGATCCAGTTGTAAGGTATTTATATGAGACTTTGATGCAGTAATTACTTTTAACAAGATTTAATGCTAGCTATATTTTCTATCAAAATAGCTCATACGATAAAATTAGAATGCTTCTGCTCTATATCCTATACAAGAATGGCATTCTAGAGGAGGATCGGCGTAAATTACTTGCGCATTCTGGAATTTCCCTAGAAGAAAACGATGCTCTCAATAACACTGGATTATTGGGTGTCAAACTCATAAAGGTTTGTCTCATTTACTTTATGAATATTCTCTAATTTTATTCACTTAAGGATTAAGTATACCTCTATTTTTTATAGTCCCCACTAGGAGGTGATAAAGGAAAAAAAAATAAACAAAAACCGCATAACGAAGACAATCATTACGATCTTTCTCGATATACTCCGAATCTTAAATCGATTTTAGAGGTACATTATCAATCCAAACTCACATAAATAATTCAGTATCCACTTTGACTAAGTAGTGACAACAAATACGCACTTTAGAGTCATATCAATAATACAATAGATTCCCAGGCATATCCTTATACCAAAGACCCGTCAGCTGAAGTTGATGCTGGAGGTAAGGCGGTCTCTGCACAACCAGTCTCGTTAAGAAGGTAAATTTTTCTGAAATATATACTGTCTGGTTGAAATTAAAATTTTGCCATTTTTTTAACATGTTATATTTTAATTGTTAGTGCTAAGCCAGCATGGTATAAGAAAGGTCAATCGGTATGAATGAATTCTAATTGTCTGAACTTAAAATCTTACAGCTAACAGTATCCTCAGCATTAACTTATGCCGTCTCTTCTAATACAGACGGAAAGCCGTGCTAGTCGTATAATAGTATTTGTTGCGGGGGGTGTGACTTATTCCGAAATTCGTTCTGCATATGAACTATCTGAAAAACATAATCGTGATGTAATAATTGGTAGGTTTTACCCTTCTTTACAATATTATGAAATTAAAATTAAAAGTATATTATACAATTTTTTTATTAGGCTCTACTCATACTATCACACCTAAGAAATTTATTAACGACTTAAAATATCTTCGTCGACCTTCTGCGGCTTATTCACAATCGCAACTACCACCACCATCACCACAACCACCACAACAATTGACCCAAAATCAGCCTCCTGTTCTCACTCAAAATTACGGAGGTAATCCAGTAGCGATGAATAGTCCAGGATATAATCATGTGCCGTCTCCATCACCCGGCCACAATCCTCCTCAGCAACAGCAGCAGCAACAACAAAGCGGCTATATACCACCACCTCAAAGCATTCAACCACAGGGTAGCTATTCATCTCAGGGCTACGCACAAGGAGGGGGTTACCACCAGCCTCCACCATCACAAGGAAATTATCAACAAGGAGTGAATTCACAATATGCGCAATTTCAGCGACCACCACCTCTCTCTTCAACTTCTTCAACTTCTTCAACATCCTCTTCAAAATCAAAGACGAAATTTGGAAAGGAATTTCAGAAATTTTTCAAATAACTTATTTCAATTTTTGGAAGATTTAGAGATATTAAAAATTTAGAAATTACGGTCAAACTTTGTATTATTTAATTCGAACGAACTTTGTTATTAATTAATATTCCCCAATTTAGAAAGGGATTATTTTTTTGTGATAATATATTTTTTTGGCTGGATTTCATTATAATAGAGCCATTCTAATTTATCCTATTTTAAAGTGTTCTTTTACAAGACCAGTATATATTATTGGATTTCCTACAATTATTTTTGAGCCAATATTCGTTGGCTATATTAAATTATTTACGTCAAAAATGAATAAATATTTCTATAATATAATGTTTCTAAAGTTAAGAATAAAAAAAGTCTGCTCAATCAATCGCAATATTATATTTTACGTGTTTAAATTTTGAAATGTGGATCGCCGAAACGAAAATACAGATATACTGTAATCAGACTTACGACTGCCGGAAACAAACGCAACTGAGCTACGAAATAAATCCATAAGGTTGCCAATGGTGGGCAGCGTCTCATCACGCCAAAATAAGAAACTTTATTAATAACCCAAATTAAATGACAACCACACCCAATTGAACCAATAAACATCAAAAATTGAAGCCAAGGCTTCGTGAGATTTTTGTTGGTAAAGTAAACTAATAAGTATACAACTGAGAAGACGATATGAAATTAATACGAGGTTCAATTAATAAAACTTGTAATCTACAAGAAAAAAATTGACTTACTTGGCGCTATTTTAACTACCCGAGTAAAGAAGGGCCAAAACGTAGGATCCTCATTAAATTGTCTATGAATTAAAATGTCCATTACGGAATAGACAGAACAAAGCGGTATAGTATACAAAATAGCTTGAAATCCCCAGCCAAAATGTGGTTCTTCATCTTGACGTATTACTTCTAGCTTGGAGGAAGACGAATTTTTATCCGATTTAAGATCAAGTATTTCACGTTGCGTTGAAGATAAATCCTTGAAAAGACCGGATTGCTCAATTAAACGAAACTTTTCTGAATCTGGAATGTCATCAATGTTTGGATCGTAGTGATCAGATGCGGTTACAGCTACATTGTTAGAATTGCCTGCTTTTTTTCTGTTGCGTCGTTCTTCTTTTCCCATTATTTATTTACTGCAAGTTTATTCTTTAATTGCAAGAAAGTAAGGCTCAGTTTAATAAATAAATTTATGAAATATTCGAGTAAAAGATAAATAGATGTAGAGTGGTAATATATGTAAAAATTGAAGAGGCGATGCAATCGTGTAACGATAACTAATGTATTTGTGCATAAACTTATATACGTTCCAGCGGATCCGATTGGGAGGGGTAGATAGTTAGATAACCCGGAGACTGTTAATATAATCACGTGTTCAATAACTTTCGAATCGTGCTAAAATATGTTTGTAAGCTGTAGTTTATAGATATTTCTAGTGTATACTTTTTAGTATTTTTGTGATCTCTTCTTGAATTATTTAACTAATTACCATAACTTTAATAAATTATATAAATTTAAAGAATAATAAGATTTTTCAAAGAACTCTGTCCACTGATCATTTTTCCAGAAAATTGACAAAAGTGTAGAGCAGATATATTTCACAAAAAAATCACATAACACACTAATTAACTAATCTTCTTTACTAACAAAATCTCTTTACTTTACTTTTTTTTTTTCTTACAAAAACATATAAAAAACACAAAAACATAAATAACACTCATAAAAACACCAAAATTTTTTCTAATCTTCTATCTCTAATACGTGCCATTATGATACAATCTTCAAACTTTTCTTTAGATAATACTCCAACTTCTAATAATCAAAAAATATATCTCAAACAAATCCTTCTCTTTCTACTCTTTCTTCCAATTCATCTCTCAAATGTGCAATAATTACTAAAGTAGATCCTTCCTAACTGGAGCTTATCAATCAAAATCAAGAAAATAGCAAAAAAAAGAAAAAATCCAGACATGTGCCATATAACAACAATAACAAAGAGAACAGATGAGTTATATGTAACATGTTACTAAACAACAATATCCCAACATCCCAAAACTTTTCATATTCACATGTCAATTACTCATCAGCATCTAAAAATGAAACTAATTCACTTAAAATCTCATCTGAAATCTTATCTGATGACATGGAAGACATAGATTCTATATTCTTATTTATCAACAAATCACTTCAAAAAGATTACATCACATCTATACAAATAAAAATCACACCTAACCCAACTATATTAAGTAACAAAAATGAAAAAAACAACAAATGGATTACTATTACAAGTAAAATCTTATACAAAGCATGAATCAAAGTATCAATTCTCCCACAAGATTTCACACAAAAAAAAATAAACACTATAATCAAATACTTGGCACACATCCTTAGATATGTATTGTTATAGTTTATTTTGTTTGTTATATTTTATTGGACAATTTCTTAGTTTATTTTTATTGAACATTTTGTATAGTATATTTTATTGGACAATATTTATTTTTATTTTTATTGATTAGTTA